CCCCACACTCCTACACCTAACTCACCTAACTCATACTGTGCTGGAGCCACTAACTAGAGCAGCCCCAAAGTCATGCCAAGCATTTAGTGTAGCCATGGGACCAAACCTAGCCTCTCAGCCCCCACCCACTTCCCTGAGCAAATGAATGGCTCACTATGTTGCCAATGGAACCTCCTTTCTCTTCTTTGTTCCATTTAATCTATCTTGCTAGAATATCCCACTTCCCCAGCCCAGAGGTACTGCCCACTTGATTTTGCAAACACCCTTACACTTACTGTTGTCCTATGGGAGTCAAGTGTGGAGTAGGTTGGAAGCTTGCTCCCCTCCCCTCCCCTACCACTGCCTTCTTCTTCAGTGTCTTGAGATTTACAGGGTTGGAGTATTACAGGGTTTAGGGAATGAGATAGGACCTTGGCTATCTGCTCTAGTATGTCAGCTGACCTAGAATTTGGCCTCCCAATGTCTATCCCTTTTAGAGTTATTTGGGTTTTGTAATGATTGGAGGATAAAGAGATGTTTAGTCACTTTTGTTTCTAAGTCCCAGATTGGGCCTGTTAAATACTCATCCTCAATAAGTCTTGCCGTTGACTTTAGGGACTCAGTTTCTCCCCAGGGTGGATAGGGTAAATGGTGCCTTCAAGAGGCTTCACGAAACATACTAGAAGGATATTGGCCATTCTATTCTGGCAAGGCTGAGTAGAAGATCCTACCCCAATTTCTTAAAGGCGTATAACCCTGTCTAAAGTGAACTCTATGGGCAGAGCTACCCCTTACTTATTATTTCAGATCTGTGGTCACTTTGTGGGATCTGTCCCTCCCAGCTTCAGTACCCAAATCCTCTTCAGCTAGAACAGTAGGGATGAGTACCCAAAAGCCCAGCCAGCCCCATCAGGACTCTTGTGAAAAGAGAGGATATGTTCACACCTGGCTTCAGTATTTTCCCTGCCAGGGGTTTTAGGTCACTTCCCCTCTCAGAGCTACTTGGGCCACAGCTCCTGCTCCAAAGCCATTCTGGCCTTGGCATCTAGACTCATCTTGCCAGTAGGCTCAACTAGGGAGTGAGTGGAAGAAGCTGAGTATGGTGAGAGGAACCTGTGCCCCTGATCCCAGTTTACTCAACCCTCTCAAGTAACCCAAATCCCCTTCTCATCACTCCCCTCCAAAGTGGTGACTGGGCCCTGCCTCTGTTTGACAAACCTCTAACCCAAGATGTTAGAGGTTGACACCAGATGTTCTGCCTCTTGGAGGTGTAAACCAGAGAGCTGCCGGGGATTCTGGCCTAGTCCCTTCCACACCCACACCCCTGCTCTCAACCCAGGAGCATCCACCTCCTTCTCTGTCTCATGTGTGCTCTTCCTCTTTCGACAGTGTTATGTATTCCAGTGATATATAAATATTGATTTCTGCCGTCCTTGTTAATGCACCATTAGAAGATATTAGTCTCGGGGCAGGATCATTTTGGCCTCATTCCTTTACCACCCCCACACCTGGAAAGCATATATTATATTACAAAATGACATTTTGCCAAAAATATTAATATAAGAAGCTTTCAGTATTAGTGATGTCATCTGTCACCATAGGTCATACAATCCATTTTTAAAGTACTTCTTATTTGTTTTTATTGTTCCTGTCCCCAAGGGTTTATCCTGTTCCACCATGTAGTGTCCCTAGCTTAGAGCCTCCCTCAATTCCCCCTGCCCACCACCCTCACTCTGTGCCTGACCTTGTGGAGTCTTGTGTGCATTGCTGTGAATTATAATGACACTCACTTGGTGATATGCCCTATATTGGCTAAATTCAAACCTGGAATTGTGGGGGCAATCTATTAATAGCTGCCTTAAGGTCAGTAACTTACCCTTAGGGAGGCTGGGGAGAAAGGTTAGATTTTGTATTCAGGGTTTTTTTGTGTACTTTTTGGGTTTTTTAAAAATTGTTTTTGGAGGAGTTTATGCTCAATCCATGTTCTATTTCAATGCCAATAAAATGTAGGAAGACTTCACAGTGACTCAGTCTTTCTTTGCAGTATGAATGGGTAGCTGTAAGATATTTTACTGCAATTTCTATTTACTCTATAGATTACCTTCTTGTCCTTGGTCTCATTTCATCTGTACCTCAGTTCTGTGGAGAGGGATGATATGACGATTCTCATTTTATACAGGAAAGAATGGGCTCAAAAGAGTAGAACAACTTCCCAAGGTCACAGAACTGTCTAACTTAATAGCCTGCACCCTTTGTGTAGTTCCAGGCCAACTTTTCTAGTGTAGATGTGGATCCTGTATTGACCATGTGATGCTACTGGACTTGCTGGGCATTGGGACCTAAGAGGTACTTATTTGTATCTCTTGATTTCTCTTGGGGTAGTCAGGCCCTGTCCTGCCTCCTTGTCAGGAAGGCCTTCAGGCTTTTCCCACTTCCTACTATCCTCACATATTGTAGTGCCAATAAAGGTCAGGGAAGCTACCTTGGGCCCTGTTGCAGAAGGCAGTGGGGAATGGAGTGTGAAGTGAGGATGGAGAGTGTGTGTATGTACAAAAGCTATTGGGTAGTACTTAATAGTTTATAAAACATGTATATTTGAATTCTTTTTATTAACTTTTTTTGCTTTTGCACTCTAGCATATAAAACATGTATAAAACATTTTGTAGCCTAGATACAGTTAGCCTCATTTTGCAGATGAAGAAATTGAGGCCAGACAAACCTTTTAAACTGTCCTGGACCTGGTACTCTCACCAGTTTTTTTCCTGGTGAGTCAACACTTGCAAGGAAAAGCAAGTTATCATATGTTCTTTTCTTCTTTCTTTCTTTTTTTTGAGATGGAGTCTCTCTCTCTTGCCCAGTCTGGAGTGGAGTAGTGCAGTCCCGGCTCGTTGCAACCTTCAAGTGATTCTCCTCCTGCCTCAGCCTCCAGATGAGCTGGGACTACAGGCATGCACCGTCACACCTGGCTAATTTTTGTGTTTTTAGTAGAGATGGGGTTTCCCCATGTTGGCCAAGCTGGTCTCGATCTACCAGCCTCAAGTGATCCATCTGCCTTGCCCTCCCAAAGTGCTGGGATTACAGGTGTGAGCCCATGAGGCCTGGCCCAGTTATCGTATGTTTTGTGAGCTTTTAAACCATACAACAACCCTTTGAGACAGTGGCCCCAAAACTTGTCTTCACATTAGAGTCCTTTAAAGATTCCAAAGCCCAGACCACATCCTCAAATCAAATTATAATCTCCAGTATTGGGAATCAGGCACCAGTATATTTGATGAGTCCAATGTGTCTTCCTGGGGGTGGGCAGACATATACTAGGAAGAGGAGTCATTTGCACAACTTTAATTCTAAGGTAGTATATATACTTCTAAGTCCCTAGAACATCAGTGTAGGAGGAAGCCTTAGGAATCTTTACTAATGATTATCCCAACTGTTGTTGCCTTGGGAAGTGAAGGAGCTCTAGATCCCCTCCAGCCTCAACCAGATGTTGTCTGTTTTTGGATATTGGGATGTATGTGTGTAAATGATTTATTTATTTGTTTATTTTAAATGAAAAACAGGTAGACTTCTTCCAGGAAGATGGATATGGCAGGCAAGATAACGGCCCTCTAAAGATGTCCATGTTCTAATCCATGGGACCTATAAATACATTACCTTACATGCCAAGAAGGACTTGGGATGTCATTGGGTTAAGGATTATAAGATAGGGAAAGGGTGCTGTATTATCTAGGCAGTCCCAATGTAATCACAAGAGCTGTTAAAAATGGAAGATGATCAGATTCAGAGAGATTTGAATATGTTATGTTGCTGATAGGATGCTGAAGGATGAAGGGGCCATGAACCAATGAATGCAGGTAGCTTCTGGAAAATGGGAGAGTCAAGAAAATGGATTCTCCTCTAGAGCCTCCAGAAGAAATGCAGCTTTATGGACACCTTAGTTTTAGGGCAGTTTTAGCCCATTTTGGACTTTCATTTTGTTACTGAAAAGGGA